CCTACTCATGTGTAATGCAGTATGAATAACTGGGGTAAAGCTACGCGCTCTTTGCGACTAAATATATTTATATCAAGTTAAAAAAAAAGAGAGCAATGGGCACAGATTGCAGCTAAGACTTTTGAGTTTGTTGGTAGGGCCATGTAGTGCGTACGGCCACTCTGCCAGTAAATACTTATCAGATTTACGTTGTGGAGCATACTTTTGAGATACAATGTTCGGTACTTCTGCCCGCTGTCAGCTTACGATAAATACATGGAATGAAGTCAATGCTCAGTTTAGGTTTCGATTTTGTGTTTGAGTGATGTACAAATGTACACATGTTCGGTACTTCCGCGCTCTGTCGGCTTATTGCACTTTCTCTAGACTTCATTTGCCTGATTCCTCAGTGATGTTGAACCTCCCAGAGTCCTTTTACATCCGTGCAGTTTTGTATGTATAAATATATACATTGGTTAGTGTTCACGTGGACTATGTCTCATCACTATAGAAGTGTGCGCATCGCATATTTGATAAGTAATCGAAGACATTCGTAGTATCAACGATGTTGTGCTAGACTCCATCACTGAAGACTAAAGTATGTGATTCTGAGCGAGCGGCGAAATCTGTTTTGCATGCCTCGTCCACGTAGTGTTTCATGCGTGACATGCCAGAAATCATACGACAACATTGGCGCAATATCATATCTTATGTGTGCTACTTAATTGCTTGTGATCGTGATCTACGCATATTATGGTTATTCTATATATTGCCATGTATGTGGAAGACGTGATGGTTTTCGACAGCAGCAATTACCCTGTTGCAAGTTATGTTTCTGGCCGGGACGATTAGTTTGTGCATTTTATGTGGTTCCTACTACACTATGTATATATCTACTGTCAGAAATAAGCTCATCGTAAATCTATTCCGTTTTCGTCTGTGGTTTAGTATAGGGGTGTGCTTCGCAACTGATTAATCCGGCGAGCATATCAAGCCACTTATGTATCTATGTGCGGTGTCCCTTACCTTAGTTGAACGTATCTGATCTGTATCTTTGTAGTCAGTAAATCTCACCCAAGAGGCCTGCATACACTCGTAAAGGTTAACTTATATCTATAGATCTATGGCTTACAAGTAAAAGATCATCTCTTCTGAAACACGAATTGGTTCAAGTCCGTCTATGTCAAAAAATGGGTTTAGACGCATACAAAATGGCACAAAAAGTTACTATAAATAACCGTGATCTTCTGTTGTATCCTATGCTTTCTATGGACAGTGAAACACGGGTGCTGGTGACTAGTACCGCAGCTCACATTTGTGATCTATTAGATACATTCATATATTGACCAATTTGTTATTTGTCTTTACTGATGAACATACGCCGGTGCAAAACAATTATAACATTTCGCTGAAGCTTTGTACTGGGTATATGCTTGATTGCTGCTTTCTCCGCGTACCTAAAACAGATCTAATATGAATAGCGTCCTCGGTACCTGGCCCAAGATTTCACTATCAATAAACTTTTCTCATGCCTCAATCAATCAATCAATCATGTGAACTTAAACACGGCACTGCAAAGGTGTAACTATAAACTTCACTCAGGAGCGATCTCCTTCGGCTATACCCTTATGCTGTGTGGTTTTCTCATCCGTTTATTTCCTGCATTTAACACCATTACTGTATAAGGCCGCCATGGACACCGCTACCGCCGATCAGGGCTCTGCTACCGACCAGGCCAGGAGGAGAGATGAAACTGCTATACCGGACCAACCGACTAATACGAATCAGGGCAAACGCCCCGCAGATGACCTAGACAGTGATACACTCGCCTGGAGGGAATATGTGACAGAGGAGCAGTTAAAGGTGTGTGGGGGGGGTGGTAGAGTGGTAGAGTGTGTTGCAATAGAAAGACCGTGGCGCATGCTATCCGCACGAGTGGTTAGTGGTGAGCAAGTGCACACACACAGCAATAGCACGGATATATTCGGCGGCGGATGTCCTTGACTAGTGCTGATTGGGGTGTTGATTGTCTTGAGGTTATTTGGATGTTGCTTTTTTTGTATTGGTTGTGTTTTTGGTTGATTGTTATGCAGGCGATGTTGTCCGCGTTTAAACTGGTCTTATGTAGGTTCTGATTTTCTGACTGCTTCGACTTGTTGTTTTTTTAATATGAAGAATGCAGAGGAGGTGCTACAGGTGTTTATTGATCATCCTTCGCTACGACAATGCCTCAAAGTACCAGGTATGCTCATCAGGGTGTTGCACCTGTGGTAGTATGTTCATCAGTGTGTTCCACTTGTGATAGTATGTTCATCAGTGTGTTGCACTTGTGATAGTATGCTCATCAGTGTGTTCCACTTGTGATAGTATGCTCATCAGTGTGTTGCACTTGTGATAGTATGCTCATCAGGTGTGTTGCACTTGTGATAGTATGTTCATCAGTGTGTTACACTTGTGATAGTATGTTCATCAGTGTGTTGCACTTGTGATGGTATGCTCGTCAGTGTGTTGCACTTGTGCAGGCATCATCACCCTCTTGATACTCTGCCGAGGTGAAATGCTTGCATTGTCATGTATGGTTAATTCTGTCGTATCGAGCTGTCTAGACACATTCTTATCAATTCCCTACTGTGTACTCGCTTCGGCATGTGTGAAAATCGTAGCCCCAACTACTATGAGACTGCAATGTGGTACCAGTTCGGTACATACACCGGGTGTGTGTTAGTTGACCAGCATATTCATTCATAGCCATTCGAATTCGCCTGTGCTATAGATGGAGCGCCGTTGAAGCCACTGTTCATTGTGGGGCGTAAACTGTTTGCGCCGACTATGAACGACAAGAAAGCGCATCAGGCGGATAAGAAGATGAAGAACAAGCAGTAAGTACCTCCTACTCGGCTATAAACCGTATGTAAAGCGTTGAATACTTTTGTAACGGTATGTATCGGCTATCCCGGATGTAACGGTGTGCCTGTTCATGTATATGTGGATACTACTCTATTGGAACGCTTTATTTATGTTTGTAATAAGTTTGCATACACGCGATGGGGTGGGATGATGTGTTAGAGGTAACGGACACACCCCTTCAACCACTGTACATTAAACCCGATATCGCCTTCAATGATGTTACAAATTAGTCGCATGTACTGAAGGAAAACTTGGGTCTCTACAATTTCACAAAACACATTAGCTTGTCCAAGGCTTATGTGCACAGATATGATGATCAATTGATCGGTTGGTTTCAGGACACGGTCGTCTCATTATTGTACACAACATACCAGGGTGATACCTAGGTAAACCCACGAGAAAAAAAACATATAAAGTCTAGTGCGGGATGGTTAAAAAAAAATAGTACTAAAAAAGAAGCCAAATGATTCCTAGATAATAGTACTCGCGCAGCGCGTATAAGATACCCTCGGGGTATTACTATACCATAAGAAGAGATAGCTACGACACGCCAGGGCAAATACACAGTGCAAGTACTTATCAGACCATCACCCTTACAACCGCACCCATCCTCAGAAAGGATCGCCAGATCATCTCGTCGTCCGCAATTCTCAAGAAGAAGCAGTTGCAGAAGGACATGTACATGAACGCGTTGACACCAGCGCCAGATGCACTGTTGCTGACCTCACAAGTGGACGATCCTATACCTGCATGCACCCCAGCACCACAGCTCACGATAGCCAATGAAGGTAGCGTCGTAAGTGCATTTAAATATGTGATACGTACACCAATATATACGTATTTATTGATCGTGCTGCTCACGGTCGCACATGAAGGGTGGACTTACAGGTACATATATATCTATATTTATATCGATATATATATATATATATTCATGTTCAAGTTGAAGTTTATATATATATGTGTGTGTGTGTGTGTGTGTGTGTCCATATTAGTATATGTACATATATGTATATCAAACACATGTGCTTATATTTTCCAAATGCTCTCAAACTGGCGTACTTTGTGGGCTGCAGCTCATGATTTTAAATTTAGTTGTGGTCGCTAGTTCTTGTTTTATGTATGTACAAGCATTTTGTGTGTATTTACGCATTTTATAAGGTCAGCGTGCTCGATCTTCTATATATTGGCTGTGTTTTAGGTGTATTAGGTGATTTTGTGATTTTGCTTGCTCTACCGGGTATATGTTATGAGAAGTGCACTTATAAACTATTGGATCGATTGTCTACATGCGCACATCGACGTTCTCATCTATATTTACCTGTTATAGATCAATGATATACCAATATATATATATATATATTAACCTCTTATAGAACCTTTCGTGAACTAATGTACTTTTCCACCACCTATATCAGGTGATGGACAGGTTGAAGGGACCACAGACAATGCAGCTACACAAAGTCCATATTCACAGAAGGACTCGGAGGGCACTGAGCGTACACAGTCGGATAATGCAGTGCAGGATGAGGCGCAGGATGACGACAGTAGACCGAGACTGCTCAAGTTCGCGCGCAAATGCTGTATCTGTGGCATTCCTTATCGGGAAGTGCATGTATTTTACCACAAAATGTGTCTGAAGTGTGGAGACTTCAATTACCAGAAACGTCTGGTAGGTATATCGCACGCATGATTATTACCTACAGAGATATCGCACGCATGATTATTACCTACAGAGACCTCGGTGACATGTGCGCATTTGGGGTCGTCGTGACTTTGAGTAGCATGCTTATTGCAGCACATGTGAACGTATTCAGTGGACGCGTAGTGTGTGGCTCAGAGTAGTTGAGAATAGCGTGTTAACTGTAGCCATGCATCTATTCGTTTGTGGCTCAGAGTAGTTGAGCATAGCGTGTTATCTTTAGCCACGCATCTATTCGTTTGTGTTTTAGAGTAGTTGAGCATAGCGTGTTAACTGTAGCCATGCACGGCTTCGATCATCTAAGCCACATATACAAGTCTTCGCTCACCTTGTACATACAGTATACTGATGGCGTTCATATGATCCCGTATCGGGCGTCTTCCAGGAAACATCGGATCTCAGCAACCGCACAGCCCTGGTGACTGGTGGGAGGGTGAAGATTGGTTTCTACGTGACCCTGTCTCTGCTGAGGTGTGGGGCGACCGTGATAGTCACCACCCGTTTCCCGCAGGTACGTCATTGGTTCGGTCGCACATTGCCTGCTATAGTAACAGTGTACATGGCTGACTCTATCCGTGGCGTACTGCTATATGGGTGCAAGTACCGTTAAGGTATTAAGATCACAGGCAGCACTCGGCAGGCCACAGATAGTGATACTGCAGAGTGTGCAGAACGGTTTGACGAAGTTTTGTTATGGCGATCATATCTGATGTGAAACTCGTAGTCAGTGGGAGGTACGCGCGCGGCTGAAGTATGTCTGGGTCAAACGACAGTCTGTGACTGGAATTGTGTGAAGTCTTATGTAGTTGGACAGCATGTGGCAGCCCTCATCCGCAGGAGTGACGTACTGTGCAAGGTCGCTGCGTGTGTGTGGTGTGTGATCGGTGACGGTCATGGGTCAAAAGGTGTATGTATTAACCTCAACAATAAAGTAGCGTTCTTGTATTTGTATTTGTACATACTTACCTCGTCATCTCTGGTTTAAACACGTGCTGCCCATGTATATAGCCCTACCTGACCACATCCCTATACAACACCATTCCCTTACACTCCGGCCGTTATCTGTCGGACTATTGCATGTATGTGTGTATAATTATCTATATATTGGTGTATAGATACTTCTGTACACGTACAATTACCCACATAGACACACATACTTCTGTACACATATAATTACCCACATAGACACACATACTTCTGTACACATACAATTACCCACATAGACACACGTGCCATGCACTCCGACTGGTCAACCCTCCGCTCTGTAGGACGCCGTGATGCGGTGTGGTTGAGGAGACTTCGCCAAACGGAAGCACATACTGTTTCTGCACTTGCACTCGCAGATATAAATACACATGTTGTGTGGAAACAATCGAAAGACACACATCTAAAAAAACTCACCCACCCACCCACACCCTCGTAGGACGCCGGAGTGCGGTTTGGTAGAGAGGGAGACTTTGCCCTATGGAAGCACCGACTGTTTGTGTACGGCTTGGACTTCCGTGACGTTGCGGCGGTGCACGCGTTCACGGCGTCTGTGCGCGTTAACTTTACGCATCTGGACATCCTCATTAACAACGCGGCTCAGACGGTCCGCAAACCCCCCGGATTCTACAAGCATCTCATGGCCGGCGAATCGGATCCTGCGACGCTATTGGTGTGTGGATGGGTTGGCCAAAGGGATTGGGTGATTGTGATGAATATATAGGTAGGCGTATAACGTCGGCCCCCCTTATATGCTCACAAGCACCAACCAGTGCGGATGTCTGGGTGGGTGTTGCCGTGTTGTGTGCGATGACCAGATGCATATATCATAAATGTGTTCATTTGTATCATACGTGAAACAAGGCTCAAAACATTATTCCACTTTTTATTCCATCTTCGTCGCACGCAATGGGAATGTTCATGCTGTGTATTTGCGAGCTCTCGATAGTCACACCAACAGAACTATTCTAATACAATCCATCAATCAGTTGGATGAGAATAGTCTGTCTATAATTATTTTAGAATAAGCATATCAATCTATTCTAATACAATCCATCAATCATTTGGATGAGAATCGTTTGTCTATAATTATTATAGAATGAGCGTATCAATCTATTCTAATCCAACCAATCAATCAGTTGGATGAGAATAATCTGTCCATAACCATTATAGAATGAGCGTATCAATCTATCCTAATCCAGGCGTATTGCCTATCTCCATTACTATAGAAAGAGGGCCAAGTGGATCGTGTTGATGCAGACCACCTGAGGGTTGTGTCCAGTTTCGACCCGCACAGACAGAACCATACGGCGATCAAGGCCGCGGGAGGGAATGCGAATACAACTGGAAATGCCTTACTACCAGCAGATGAAGCAGATGCTCAAAAGGGGACTTTGGCCAAGGTAATTGTCCGATTGGGAAATTATTTTGTGTGTATATTGGGCATGTAGTGCGCTTTTATGGCAAATATACTTGTACTGGTATGTTTTACTCTATATAAGAGCTAACTTGGAACATAGTTGGCTTGGTAGTGGTGTTTGCTTGTAGGCTGAACTGCTTCTACGTGATACATGGCTCATGTGCGTGTGTGTGGAGGTGAAGTCGTTATAATTGTATACACACACACATATATATATATATATATATGAGGCTTAAGCTCATATGGACCCAATCATTTCGAAATACATTGTGTGTACCACGTTATATTCTGGTATGTGTCACACATTACGGTCCTACAAGTCCTTCACTGACAATGAACCCGTCTCATACAAACAGCACTCCAAGTGCTGCACATACCAGCAGCCCAAGGGTGCTCATTAGTTTAACCTATGTTCGTAAACCAAGTTCACTCCGCTTGCTGTGTGCTGCCAAGTATATATCAGTATACTAAGTGTATTTTTAGGGTTTTAGAGTATAGCAAAGTACAAACCATCGGGCGTCGTAGATGCCACACCAAAGGCACTGTGTCTAGAAGCTGTTATTTTGTTTGTGTGCGGACATGTACAGTACACAATCAGTATACAAAGTGTGCTCAGAGACAAACGACAGACGTAACTCACTACTCATATACCAACGACCGATATAGTTCACTACTCAGATACACTCACCAGTATCACTGCGATTATCATACTGTTTGTTATTGGTAGACGTCCACATCAGCCGACGCAATTGGTGTGGCCTCTGGATCCGCCACACTGAGCCAAATGGTAGTCATGACCGGAGATGACATACACGAAGACGAACACGGCACTACTCTGTTCCCAGGTACAGTCGTATTATGTCTAATGAGTATGTGTATGCCCACACAGGTGTATCTACACTTGGAAACTGTATACATACTTCTATTGAGCTGTCGATGGACTGTCCACCTGTGCACTTATTGAGAAGAGTCCAGGTTGGCATGGTGCCTCCCAACCTTTCTCAGCCTTTCTCAGTTTTTCCTAGCGTGTAGTAAGAACTGTGCTGCTGTGAGCTTCGATAGCACTCAGCTTGGCTCTCTCTCTCTCTCTCGCTTTGATGAAGTGTGTGTTGTGCAATGCACACGTTTCTGTACCGAACTGATATCATTGTCTCCTGTCTTGTTCATTCTCTGGCAGCTTACGGTCGCGTGCACCGTATCTGTTATGTATGCTGACGATAATACACACCTAATACATAAAGACTTCAGTCTTGTTTTTTCCTGCAAGTTGGGTGGGTCATAGAAACCCAAAATCATTCCCGTTATGTATGCTGTGACCCTAATATTGTTTTGTGGTCCTACTATTGTTTGGGAGTGTAGTGAGAGGGATGGAAGCGGTCTCGGGTGATTGGTCTTCTGATCAGACCCTAGATGTGCTTGATGATAGGTATAGTCATACACTGTTCAGTGCGTGTACCTTGTCAGTAAGGCCCTTATGGAATGCGTGTACTGCAATTACTGTACCATTGGGTGCAGACCAGAGTCCCACTATATTTAGTATCTATCGAATCCCACTATATTTAGTATCTATCGAATTTTAGTATCTATCGTTAGGGTGGCATTTGGTGTAAGATGGGTTGTTGTACCGTCGTCTGTCTGTTGTTGTGACAAAGTTATCGAACACTGCGACCCATTGGCGGCCGGATCAAGCACGGGCACAGTCCATTGGCTGGCTGTCACCTGCGAATCTCAATTTACTCACAAAACATATGACCACTCCGCAGAGGGCAAACTAGACGCAGATCTGCAGCAAATCGATCTGAGGAAAGTGACCTCGTGGGTGCAGCCTTTGCAGGTATTGGTCTGCACGCACTCTATTCCACATGCACGCGCACACAGAACGACATGCATGCACGCGCACACAGAACGACATGCATGCACACGCACACAGAATGACATGTTTCCACACGCACACCTTAGTGTACTATACATAGCTACATGTACACGCACATCTTGGTATACTATACGCATTCTGTGGACTCTCACAGAGTTTCTGCATAAGCTAAGTAAATGTGAAACAAACAAACTGTTCAGTGCCCTTTACACCGATACGTCTCGGCAGTGTGCTGTCGGCATCTGCAAAAGTTAAACACATGCAGATCGACTGCAATCGACACTGATGCCTATCTGCAGCCGGTTTTGCTAAAATTCAAATTTTATCCCGTGAGCTGTATATGAGAGGTCGATGGACGACCGTAATAGTCTATAAGAGTGTCCTGTATTTGTCTGTGCTTATATATATATATATTATGTATTACGTATTGTGTATTAAGGCAAAATTGTACCCAACCCCGTTCACTTGTGCTGCCATATCAATCGTTTCCAAACGCATATAAACGGCATCCCAAAGCGTATGTATATATATATATATATATATATATATGCATACATTCATCATTGTACAAAATCATATCAGCCAACTATCTACGCGCCCGGTTTCATCTCATTGCTGCTGCTGTCTGTACAGGACATCAACGTGGTTGAGTTCGTCGAGTGCCAAGCCATCAACATGATGGCGCCCTTTGTGCTGAACTCTGAGCTCAAGGGTCTGCTAGACAAAAGCCCGCACGAGGACAAGTACATCGTCAACGTCTCTGCAATGGAAGGGCAGTTCTACCGCAAGAACAAGTCAGACAAGCACCCGCACACCAACATGGCCAAAGCAGCCCTAAACATGATGACCCGAACCTCGGGTGCAGGGTACGCCAAGGACCATATCTACATGACCAGTGTAGACACAGGCTGGATCACCGATGGTGTGTGTGCGAGAGAGGTGTCTGGGTGTGTATGTGAGAGAGAGTGTGGGTGGGGGTGGTTTGTACCAGCGTGTGACCACTGTCCGCAGCCACCATACTTGCTTAGCCTGGTTCTATAGCGGGTTCGGGTTGTATGGGATGCATGTACGGCTCAACTGAGAATTGGAGACATGCATACACGCGCATCGGAGCCATGTGCGTACTGTCAAATTTCATATACAACTGTTCTGTAACTACAGCATTATAACTATAAGGTTTGTAGACATGTGCGTAGTATACTCGATCATACTACATATGTACTGTCATATTTCATATACAACTGTTACGTAACTACAGCATTATAACTATAAGGACTGTAGACAAGCGCGTAGTATACTCGATCGTGCTACATATGTACTGTCATATTTCATATACAACTGTTCGGTAACTACAGAATTATAACTATAAGGTTTGTAGACATGTGCGTAGTATACTCGATCATACTACATATGTACTGTCATATTTCATATACAACTGTTACGTAACTACAGCATTATAACTATAAGGACTGTAGACAAGCGCGTAGTATACTCGATCGTGCTACATATGTACTGTCATATTTCATATACAACTGTTCGGTAACTACAGAATTATAACTATAAGGTTTGTAGACATGTGCGTAGTATACTCGATCATACTACATATGTACTGTCATATTTCATATACAACTGTTATGTAACTACAGCATTATAACTATAAGGACTGTAGACATGTGCGTAGTATACTCGATCGTGCTACATATGTACTGTCATATTTCATATACAACTGTTCGGTAACTACAGCATTATAACTATAGGGATTGTAGACTTGTACGTAGTATACTCGATCGTACTACATATGTACTGTCATATTTCATATACAACTGTTCTGTAACTACAGTATTATAACTATAGGGATTGTAGACTTGTACGTAGTATACTCGATCGTGCTACATATACAACTGTTCTGTAACTACAGTATTATAACTATAGGGATTGTAGACATGTGCGTAGTATACTCGATCGTACTACATATGTACTGTCATATTTCATATACAACTGTTCTATAACTACAGCATAATAACTATAAGGACTGTAGACATGTGCGTAGTATACTCGATCGTACTGTCATATTTCATATACAACTGTTCTGTAACTATGCACTGCCATATAGAATGTAATAATTACACGGACAAATTTAATTCATATATATATATGGATTTTCAAAATTGTGTCTATCTTTAAGAGTGATTGCGTAAAACTATCTTCAGCCATTATACTCTATAGCCCCTAAACTCTAAAACGTGTTGTATTGGCTTGATTCACCTCATTATTTTTCTTTCATTTTCATATGCACATATGTATATGTGAAAATTTATGTGTGTGTGTATGTATAATTGTATCTGTATATGTGTGTGTATATGTATATATGTGTGTGTGTATGTACATGTATGTATATCAACATTGCGATAGTCCTGGTTGTACAAACCATATCGCCACATGCACCTTTCGATTGCTTTACACTATCAACAGTGTTGCTGTGGAACAGCATCTCCTCCAGTCTAATTAGTTTCAGTAGGTAGCCTTTGGCACTTCCCCTATTCCTGCTAATGTACAGCCATATAACCACATACTATCTATTTGATCGGTGTCGCTGGTGCCCACTCAGACTAATAGTCCCGCACGGCACACTACACAGAAAATCCGTCGCACCTTCTGGAGAACAGATCTGACCCTCCGCCACTGGACGATGTAGACGCCGCCCAACGCATCCTCGACCCGATCTACATGGGCACCAAGGTATGGGTTGCTACTTACCTACATACGTAGGTACATATGTGTTGGCACATATGCTGCTACTTACCTACAGTCGTAGGTACATATGTGTTACTAATTACCTATAGTCATTGGTACAAATGTGTTGTAGTGTACCTATAGTCCTAGGTACATATGTGTTACTAATTCCCTATAGCCATAGGTACATATGTGTTGGTATATATGTGTTACTTATTACCTATAGTCATAGGTACATATGTGTTGGTACATATGTGTTACTAATTACTTATAATCATAGTTACACGATTTATTTATGTTCACACAAGATGTGTTGAATTGGCCTGTCATGGTTGAGATGGAGATGATCATCGAGGTGCTAGTATATATATGTGTGTGTTGTGCTTTACCTATGTTCACTTTGCAAGTGATATATTGGTGTGTCATGGTGTGAACATGAAGACTAACGCACGTGTTGTATTGCCTTGTTATGGTTCAGATGATCATTGAGGTGCTAGTATATATATGTGTGTGAGTGTTGTGGTTTACCTATATTCACTTTACATGTGGTATATGGTGTGAACATGAAGACTAACGCACGTGCTGTATTACCTTGTTATGGTTCAGGTGATCATTGAGGTGCTAGTATATATATGTGTGTGTGTTGTCGTTTCAGTGTGTGTGTGTTTGTGCGTGTGCCCTGTTACTGGCATGGGCACCAAAGATTGTGTTGTATGCGTGTGTGAACATCCCATCACACGCTACTTATGCCTAGCATCGACGTTCTGCTATAGCAGTATGCCTGACGAAACAAAAGTATAATTCGCTGCGTGTCCCTTTCAACGCCTGCGCTGTTTGATTAGTTGATTGTTAGTGCATGCACTGGTGTGACTCGTAGCATAGACACATCAGTTTGGTCAACGCTACCTCTCACCTAAGCGCTTCTAAAGTGAGGTCACGTGGTACCATCAGTACGTATATATTCGTGGTCAGTTTATATTCATGGTAAGTTGGTACAATCAGTACATATATATTCATGGTCAGTTTATATTCATGGTGAGTTGGTACCATCAGTACGTATATATTCATGGTAAGTTGGTACCATCAGTACGTATATATTCATGGTAAGTTGATACCATCAGTACGTATATATTCATGGTCAGTTTCGGCAGCACACAAAAACAATACAGTGCAGTGCTTACTGACTCTACTACCCTACTATAGTAACAACTACTCTGACATATAGTACATTCATATCACTACCACTCCCTACTATAGTAACGACTACTCTGACATATAGTACATTCATATCACTACCACTCCCTACTATAGTAACAACTAATCTGACATGCCGTACACCCATATCACTACCACTCCCAGGATGCCTCTAAGCGTATATATGGCGTCTTCTTGAAGGACTATCGTGTGGTGCGGTGGTGAGCAGCGAGTCTTTCCTCGGAGATCAACAGAGCTTACGCAGTACTCCTTCCCATAGCTAGCGCATCCAGAACAAGGTTAAGACAATCTCGGGCAAATGAAGGAACCGCTATGGTTGGTCACTAGGGTACTCAGACGAGGAGAGTATGCCATGGCGCACATTACATGGTAGTGAGAGCATCTTTCACGCGTATAGAAACCTAGCCACCTCTCTGTTTGATAGAGTAGTCTTGCTGATGCTGACTAGATGTTAGTGTGGCCTATGTAAGTACATCACAGCAGGCATTGTGGTGCGTTTGATCCATGCGCGTTGTGGAGAATGCGATGGGGCTCTCAAAAGCCCTCTCAACAGTTAGACAGTGTACAACGTTGAACTGTTAATTAATTAGCAGGCTTACGCAGCAGCTCTGTATCATGCCGTACGTAATTGTAGCTGTTGTATGTTATATGACCAGGCAGTGAGGTATATAGAGACTTCGCAATGAATAGTATTGTTCTGGTACGTGACTATCGCCGGGTAGCTCATGAAACTTGCTACTTGAAAGTGTGCTGGTGTTCTCCTATGACATGTGGGTATAGCCACATAGCATGAGGACGAATAGATATGGTGTCTAGCTAAGTAGCAGGTTCACACAGGCATTCACAGTACACACAGTGAAGACAGCCCAAAAAAGTAACACGTAGACGCGGCATCACCGTATGATAAGCTGTGTACGAAAGATAAACATGCATGACACTCATGGACGATGGCAGGCAGCGAATGTAATCTATCTTAATAAACCGAACCCAAAATCTGAGCATGAATACTGTAATCTATCATTCGCAAATGTATTGTGAATGTGCATGTGTATGTATATATGCGTATATATGTATATTATATATATATGTATGTGTGTATGTATACGTGTACGTGTACGTACGTAAATATATCTATATCCTTATATACATACAAAGCAAGACCTCCTCGTATGTCAGTACGTTTGAAAGGCGTGCGATATCTAAGAACGAGTGCTTGCAGTTGGCTATTTTTGGAACACTGTATCTGTTTGCTGTGTGAGCTGATATGTACATACTCGCTTGACAGATAGACAAGTCACCGTGTGAGTCTTGTCTGTGCCTCAGTGGAGTGCGACTGTGGATCATGAATTGTATCTTGATCGTTTCCGCATGAGACGCTCCAAATTGCTGTAGTCTCAAACTTTCAAATCGAATTCAGATCATTCAGGACAGGGAATTAATTAATTGGGATTTAGGATCATCCGACGATTCTGGCCAGTCACCAAACATAAAATGTAACTGTATCAGGGATTCTGAGATCCTACATATTTATGAAAATCATATAAACATTGCTCTCACTACATGTACTATTTATAAGATATGCACTATTTATACGATATGTACTATTTATAAGATTTGTACTATTTATAAGATATGTACTATTTATAAGATGTGTACTATTTATAAGATATGTACTATTTATAAGATATGTACTATTTATAAGAGAGAGAGATGGTGTAAAATCGATGTCCGATTTAGAAGGCTATGAAATAGAAGAGTTAAGCTTTGCCTAATAAGTGCTGTAATGTCAACCATGTTTACCTCCGATTTAAAGCAATGTTCGTGTTGTAAGTACCGAACTGTTCGGTAGTTCTTGGGCGTT